TCATGCAGCATCATACAGAAATTATTATGCATCCACCTTCAGTACTGCTGTGTCAAAGTTGTGCTAGATATAAAGAGTTACGTGGGGTACTTAGTTCAAATTTTCACCCTTCCCCTCCATGCCTCAGTCCCAATTACTGTTCCCTACCTGCAGGCTGCTACTTGCCCCAAGAGAGAAGCTACAATTTAGGCCAGTCTAGTGTCTTTAAGACGGCTGTGCTGAAGAAATGTGGACTATGCCTGCCCTTATTGCATTTTGCCCAACAGTGTCCATAAAGAATGATACACTATTTAAAACTTGTTGTGCTCCCACCCAGTCACACTTCGCCTCCTTCAGGGTGCGATCCAGACAGGAGAACAGTAAGTCTTTCCACTCAGAGGATGACAGGCATCCTGTGCAGAGCAGGGGGGACAGCAAACCCATCCCTGCCTCTCTGCTACCCTTGCACTGCATTCCTGCTAAATGGCCACTTTTGGCTGCCTAGCTGTGCCCCTGCAGGGTAAAAGGAAAAGAGACTGCAGAGAAATAGGCTGTGGGAAGTTTTGAGAAAGGTCATACCATAATGAACAAAATGCTGATATATTTGCGTCTCTCTTATGCCTAACCCTCTCTCTCAGTATCTCTCTCCAATTCCATGCATGCTAATCTTGTGCCAGTAGTTCATCTGCTGCCTCCATATATAAGTGGAAGATTACAGGGAGAAAAGACAAGCAAGTTCCCTTGCACTTTAAAAGGCTCCTAAATATATCCTTTCCTAGCATACTCAATAACTCTTCCCTTTAAAGCTTTCCTTGCTGAGGAGGCGGCTCATAATATATACCTTTTTTTGCAACTAAACTCCTCCAACTGCCAGATTCTCTGGGACTGCAGAGCTCAAGGGAAAACACTCTCTGGCCTTTCAGCTTGGCCCAACCTATCTTGCCATCTGAGGCAAAGCAGTTCCTGGCATCCGGCACACACACACAGATACACACATGCCACTGATCCAAAGTTTCACAAGTCCTGCCATCTTCTCCCTTCCCTGTCTGCCACCCAAGTGCTGCCTCAGTCGGCCTAATGGGAAGACCTTTGCCTTTAGCCAGGGGACAAAAACGCACCAGGCCGCTGCTTTCCTGCATCTCACATTCAACACCCTGTCCAGGGAAAGGCCAGTTTATCCTCTCCATTGGGCATAAAAATATGACTATTTCAGCCTGCATGCTTCTTCCTGCTCCCGTCTCTTCTTTCTAGCGATTCATTTTCAATATTTCAAACTGCAGTTCATCCAGCCAGATCCAGGGCAGTGCACAGCAGTCACAAGTGAGATTATTTATCCCAAAAACAAATACATTTTGCTTTGTCATATCCATACAAATGAGCACACTCAGGAGGGAATAAAACTTTAGCAATAAAACAGACTGAACAACACAAACATTTACAATGTTGGGGAAAATTCAAAAACAGTAAACAGACCGCCATTGTAGCACTGGTTATAATGCCAGCACCACGCAAGCTTCCCTGAGGGATGTGGAGTTGGGATGCTACCCCAGAAAAGACCCTTTTCTGTATCATGTCTATTCATTTGTGAGCCTGCAGATAGAGACTGGTTTTCGTTTTAATTCCTTTCAATATCTGTAATGCTTAGAAAATGTTGTAATTTGTTGTGTTGACAAAAAAGTGGCAGGTTTTAATCATTACAAATCCAAACTGAGTAGTTAATGATGGATCTGTAACAAAAGCAATGTGCTGATAAACTTATAAGGATATTTGGCACAGGGCAGCCTAAGGAAAAGTTCAAAATCATGGTTTAAGGCTGCTATTCTCTACTCTGCTGTTGGTTTGTCTCCTCTGCTTCAGCAAAACAATCAAGGAAAGATCTTGTGTCTACAAGGTTCCTTTGGGCTGCAGCTACAGGTGTAGGTGATGGGTTTGAATTCCGGAGGCTTGTCTCGGATTATTTCAGATGTCCTCTCAAGCAGTTATCAGAGGTCTGCGGTCCACTTATCCAAGTTCACCACCTGTAACTGAATGCAAACAAAAGCAGATGTGGTAAAAAGGAAGTCATACTTTTAAACCCCAAATCCTTCCATATATTTTTGTTCCAGTACGACCCCATCCATAATGGCCCCAGTTGCATTTTCAGATGAATATATTGTTGGGGGTGAGGATTCAAGTGCAGTCATAGAAGCTGTAAAATAAAGTAGACATATTAAAAAGGAAGAAAACACCAAGTTTCAATATCATATGTGCACTTTATAAAAAGGTGTACCATAAAATTATTGGATCAAAATATGCAGGCCACTTGGCATCATCTTTGATCAGAGGTGTTTTTGTGTGCTGGGTTGCAAAGATTGTTGGTCTTCTTTCCCTAGCTTCTCAAATGCTATCATTTCAGAAAACATGGACCAGTATATATATAAGAGTGAAACATTGATTATATTCCCCTTGCCTTTGTTCAAATAGCCACACTGTTCTTCCTGAAGCCTCAACTAATACAGTCCAGGAAAACCTTCAATATTTTATCTTTCTGCAAATATCAGTGAAACCTAAGCCTGTAAGCAGGACCTGTGCCCAGCATTAATGTTCATCCACAATATTTAGTTGCTTTAAATCATGAGTAGGGGATCTTTTTATTTTATTTTATTTTGGCCATGCACAAAACCTGCCAGGATCCTCAAGCCAGCAGTTGGCATGACCAGAACCCAGAGCAGCCATAATCGCCACTCTTTTGTGCATACACGCACACGTGTGCACGCACACGCATGCGCGCGCACACACACACACACACACACACTATTCCTTCTCATACATGCACACAGGCCCAACATCCAAGTCTACCCTCTAACTTCATGCTCTCTCAATGTATTTATTTATTTATTTATTTAAAACATTTCCATGCCACCCCCATCGCAACAAAGCCTCGGGGCAGGTCACAACATCAATGCAGATTAGCTAGGGAATAGAATATCTGTATCCCTGTTGTGGTGTGCCAGAGAGGGAAATCTAAACTCTTACACCTTTGACCTTCAATGCAGGTAGAAACCAGTATTTAAGCATCCTTGCTCGTAGCCCTGATGCACTGCTGGCTGGAGATACATCCTTTTCCCTGCTGCAGAGACAATGGGTCTTTCTTGTGATAAAGAAAGGAAAATGTCTTATTTCCAATTAGCTGATAATTGGAGATAAGAGCTTTTCCCTGCCTGAGAAGATGGAGCAAATCCTAGAGACAAGGATATGAAAAAGGAAATGTATTCCTTTTCATAAATCATTCCCATATTTACATTCAGAAACAAAAGCAACAGTGGAATTACTGGGAACTTTCTGCAATTTCATGAGCTTAGATTTGTGTTTGTACTTCCAGAAATGCACATTTCCCCCACAAAAAGGCATCTCCAACCTTTACCTATAGGAAAATGTATTTCAGGTTAATGCTTAGAAACGTCTGCAGCCTTCACCTTTGCAAATGCATACTTTTCCCATTCAGGAGAAAAAGATGCTTATATTCTGGAGCAAGAATGAGGTGAGATGAGCAAGTGGTTTGAAAACAAAGAACCTGAACAAGCTTGAAAACTGTCTGCTTCCCCATCCCTACCTGCAGAAGAGCAGATGGGGACTCCCATGCACTGTATCTACCCTGCAGGCCAGAAGTTCCCCATGTTTGCTTTAAATGCTTAATAAACAGTGATAATATGTAGCCACTCTGTCCCTTTCTCCTTGCATGTAAACGTGATGCTGCTCTGCATCTGTTTGAAAGGCATCTTCTGTTTAAAGAGATGCTTCAGGGAACCTCAGACTCTATTTTGATTTCCTTCATAGCAACATCGCTTTGAAGCTGATAAATGTCTCATTTCCCAGTGTTGCAAATGCTCTCAGCTATAGAGCCTTTAAGCTCCCATAAGACTGTTGCAAGCTTATTCAACCTTTGGTCCTGACCACAATGTCATCTGTGAAACATGCCAAGCATTTCTTGGGTGGAAACAAATAATGGATTTAAACATTCTGTTTAGTTATAATAAAAATTAATGCCTTTCCCCCAGTGCTTTTGAGTTCTGTGAAATGTAACATTCATTCCCCATAGGTGGCTTTGCTTTGGCCTCCTATGTAAAAACAACCAACCAAGCAAGCAAGCACAATCTTCAGTTTTGTGTGTGTGTGTGTGTGTGAGAGAGAGCGAGAGCGAGAGAGAGAGAGAAAGAGAAATGAACCAACTAGGGCAGGAACTGACTACATACTTGAACGTGATTCTAATTTATTTAACTGGGGCAATCATGGTTAGTCTTAACATCAAGCTAGACCCAATATTTGTTGCTCAAGACTTGGGGGAAAGAAATTTAAGTAGTTGGAAGAGTTCCCAGCATCCCCCAAAAGGCATGAGTAGGGTATTATATTCTGGTTGCAGATTCTTACACATCAGGGGTTATGACTCCGGAAGGCTCCCTGACCTGAGGGGGATGCAGCTCTTCTATATACAGGTGGAAGCCTGCATACAATACTTTAGATTCCTACCCTTATAAGTTTTCAGTGAATGTATGGGTTATATTTATTAACCTGGTTAAGCTTTTAATGGGGTGTTCCATTACAAGGCAAAAATAATAACAAAAGCATTGGATGCATTATTTGAATAAACTACAGTTTAAAGACTTTGCTTTTCAAAAAAAAACCAAATTCCCACAACCACCCATCATTATTCTGATTAGCAGAACACCTGCTATGGCTTTTGTTTGTATAATTAAGCTCTGCCCCAGGTCTTCAGACTGAGCATGCATGTGTGAAGTAACATTTCAAGCAATGATATGAGAAGAATTTATTTGAATTTAGATTCAGTTTGCAAAGCAATGTGGTCAAAGTGTGTGTCAGGAATGGAAAAGTCTCCCCTAACACTTTACTCCACATGCAAACAAAAATGTTAATTTCATCCATGGGCAAGGTGTCCATAAAACACCCTCAGAAATCAATTTCCAATTTCCAGAAATCAAATCAGTTTCCCCAGTCAACAGACACATACTCCTTTCTCTCTGCAGTCACTTGGAATAGTCCTGAACCAACAGTCTTTGATTCAATTCAATGGTCCTACTGAAATGAAGCCAGCTCCAAAAACATGAGCAAGACAAGCTCAACAGGCCCTTCCATTAGAGAATCTACCATTTCCTGGGCATCATCCACAGCTGCTGTTGTTCTTGATCCTCTTTCTCATCATTGCTACCTCAATGACAAGCCAAGAGCAAGGAGACAGTGGCATCTGCTGATCTACCTTCTCACTCCCTAGAACAAGAAGCAAAGCCACTCCAGGAGTCTCTGGCAGGTGTCTCACTCCTGAGATATGAACTCTCAGCTGTCATCTTACCTTGTCCCAATCCCTGTAACTGCACTTCCTCTCACCCATCCTTCTTCCTCTCCCTTTCTGCTGTCTTCCTATCCTTAAGAAGGAAAACTTATACCCTTCATTACCTATTGGGATTTTTAAAATCCTGAAGCAAGGAACTGTAAACCCAGGGCAGCCGGACCATAAGCCATGGTGGGTGGGTTGTTGTGCAAACTTGCATGGTGCTTTCAACTGATGATCAGCCCTCCCTTGACTTTATTTCCCCTTCCTTCCTTTAGTCTTCCCATGGATAACCCAGAGGACACCAGGGAGGAAACAATTTGTCTCCACTTCTCCATTACAATTGCAACCTATTTTCAGCTCTCTCTATCCATTTTTCTCCCAGGGATCATGATGGCTAGCTTAACAGGCAACCATTTCAATCCCTGTTTTAACAGCTGCTAACAGCCCCTTCAAAGTACTGAGGTGGCACCTTGCACAGACTGCTCATATCTATAATCCTTTTTTCCACCCATAATGTTATCAAATATCTGCAGACATTTTTAACATTGTTGTATTTTGAAAATATGCATCTGCAACACTCATGAAGATCTAAATCTGGGCAGCCTCTGAAAAGGTTTGGTTTGGTTTGGTTTGGTTTGGTTTGGTTTGGTTTGGTTTGGTTTGACAGCTGTCAAAACAAAAGTAGTTTTATAAATTACAGGGCTCCATAAAAGTTGCACTGAGAGTGAAGGAATGCTTGGAAATTCAAATCCATCATGTGCTATATAAATAAGGACATTGGAAGTATTCAAAATGGTGCACTTGAAAGTACAAGGATCCCTGTACAAGTACCTGCATGCATTTGCAAGGCAGGTGGGGCTTGTAGGGAGCAGATGAGAAGGGTGTTGCTTACATTGCAAATGTAAAAATTGCTGCCACTTCTCTAAGTCTCACAAACCTTAGCTGGAACAGGAGAAGTGGGAGATGAAGGTGTCGGCAGGCACAAGTCCCAGAATGATCAGTGAGAAAATGGACCACAGACAAAACATTGATCTTTTGCAAGCGTTCTTCTGGAGTGCCCTGAACGATTCAATCCCCACTGGGGGCAAGCAGAGCAATGCTCATTCATTCCTAGGTACACATGGCAACACCAGGATGTGGCTAGGTTAAGGAATGATTTGCAAAAGAATCTGGTAATCCAGGATTGGCCATACAGGGCCGGTTTGGGGACGTGTCCTGTGACTGACCCACAAGACTCACAAAACATAGCTGAGAGATCAGTACCTTCACCTGCTGATGGACTCAGATTCATGGGGTTTGGGAGCATAAAGAAGAAGAAAAGGTAGGTGCAATATTCTTAGTAAGGACTGGCCAGTGGTTCAGCTGAGGAATGATGATCAGGATGACCAGAATCTAGACAGACACTATCATGAGCAGAGCAGATGGATTCTAGACCTTCCGCACATGAGAATGCTAAACTAGGAATGTAGGCAGTGGCCTTAGACTGAACCATATCGTGACTCCATGTAGACCAGTACTGTCAACACGAACTGGCAGCAGCTCCCTGAGGATTCAGGCAAGACTTGCCTCCTGCCCTGCCCTCCTCACCCCCAGAACACCCACAACACTCCAGCGCCATGGCTCTTTCTGTGCCAGCAGTGTGGGCAGAGGGAGGGCACTCCATGTTTGGAATCCAGCCTTAGATCTCAGGGCAAGTTCTTCAGGCTGCTGCTCAGACTCCAAATCCTTTCTAGCAGCTGTAGGGTTGAGCTCTCTCTTTTTAAATTGCCTCCATTTTTGCTGTCTCCTTATCATATTAGGGCTAACAGAAATATGGAAGTCAAGTCATGAAAACCCCTGAGCTGTGTGACTAAAAATCAATATATGCACCATGTAGAGACTGTTGGTAGCTTCTCTGGATTTAATCAAACTCACTGTAAAAGAAAGTGTCAAAATTGCACCTACAAGGCCCATAACATGGAAGGACATTCCTCTTTTCTCTCCCTCTCTCTCCACAGGTGCCAGCTTGCGTGATGATATTACTAAATACTTCTGGTTTCATCATTCACATGGGGACACAATGACAGTTCAGGATCCCACTGAAATGAATCTCTGTGCTGCTGTTTGGACTGTTGTATCCTATGTAATTGCTGACATGGAGGAAAAGCTGCCAGTGTAATTTACAAAATCAAGAAGAAGGATTGATCTTTTTTGAAATAGAATGTATAGATCCTCCCGCTGCTGTGAAATCACACGTTTCCTCAAAAAGTTAGCTTTCTTTTTTTTAAACTTAGGGCACATATCTTTCAGGCAGCCTTGTTTCGATTTGCTTTTTTAATCTCTTCTAGTTCTGATGTTCATTTCCTGCTACTTATATTAAATTATCTGGGTTTTCAATAGCCAACTTCTGCTCTGCAGTGTCATAAGAGCCATTGTTCAGTTGCTATATACTTAAAATAAACTTGTTGCATTATCCTTTTCGCATGTGATCTCTCCTTAATATGCACATTTAAGTGACTGAAGCAGAAGAGAAAAGAATAAAGCTGTTCAAACACTCTCAAAGAGTTCTCAAACTAGCAATAATGGATTTTACCTACCCTCTCAACTGTAGATATGAGGAAAAGAGGCAGAGGCTCCTCCCATTCATCCTCATTATGTATTCATTTCCTGTTTTCTTTCTTCCAAAAGGAAGCACAAAGTAGTTAACAACATCATTCACAACGCTGTAGCATCGAATAAAATATCAAACAACAATAGTATGAAACGTTATCTAAGAATGTATTTTATTTATTTCAAGCTTGTATACATAAGCTGGCATCCATAACCAATTTGGCTCTCAGAACAGTTTACAAGATTAAAAAATACAGTGCAGTGATAAAATAGAAAAATACTAATAATAAATTTCAGTAACAATACCAATACAGTAAAAAGGTACAATAAATCTATCAACATTCAATTCAGTTTGAAAACATCCAGTCAATTAACAAATACAAACTATATAACAGTGCAATCCTATAGCCTGCAAACTTCCTACAGAAGTCCATGGGTTGTTCAGAGTCCCACATCTGAGCTTCTGGGACTTCAGTGCTTGCACTCTAGATGCTGGACTCCTTTGACATACCACTCTTACAACTGATGGGAAAGACCAGGCAGGCTACACTCCCAGGACACCACTCACTGGACCTCAGAGGGGGAAAGGGGGGCATGAGGGATCAGGGCAGGAAGGGGGATGAAGCTACAGAAATATGCTCATTTCTATCAGCATCCCAGTCTCCTTCTCTCCCCTCCCCCCACACTTTATCTAGATAGCCAAAAAATATTTAAAAAGCTAAATAAAATCTCAGCCTGAAGTTCCAGTCAGGTCTACTTGAGAGTCATCTGCTCTCCTCAAGGGCATAAATAAAGTTATAAAGTAGTTATAAAAGTGCTTCACCCCACTGCTGCTGTTTGCCATTGCTTGGAGAGTCCACAGTTATCAATGTCTGTGTGAACTTTCTAGAAGGAAAATGTTAGCTGGCAGCACTTCCTTCAGCTTCAAAATGGCTTCCAAAAGTGGACAAACATGTCTGTCCCCATGAACTGGAAATGCATGCACACATCACCCACTCATGCTTAAATAACAATATAGTTAGATGAATATCTCATAATTTATACCAAATCAATAATGAAGGGGCTGCAATGGGAAAGAGAGAGTCGAGAGACAGGCTTCCACCTAAGATGGGTATGTAATGTTGTCTTGTATAGTTGGATTCATTTATTTGATTGACTGATTGATATAAGTCATTACCAAATGATTCCAGAGCAGTTTCCAATAAGATCCCACAGCCTGCAAGTTATGTAACCACATTCACAGAAGAAAATCAACCAGCATTATTTTATTATGTTATATACAAGATTATTGTCAAAAAAAGGAGTACTAATATTTCTATAGTACAAAGCTTAAACAGATGATTTGTGCAAGAGCTGTAAATGAGTCCCAGCAGGGCTCCCACTTACCATCTATTGGCTGCTGCCAATGTGCTCAAGTCCAGTGCAGATGGCAGGGGCTCAGCACACATGAACATCAGCCAAAGCCCAGCAATCCCCCAATGGGCTTAGCAGCATCCTGCTCTCTCCATGCCAGTCTTGTGTTTTCTACACCACACCTTAATCTTGCCAAGAACCCATGAGGATCACATTATGCCGCTAGGTTTGCTTCTATTTGGGGATGCAGGTAAAGGAGGGGATGCAAACCCGTTCACTGTATGGTTTGTGTAAGGATCTCTTGCATTCAACAATAATAAGTTCTTGCCTAAACTCAAATATTGGGATACAACATAAAATTGCAAAAACTTGGTTTGGAGCTCAAGCCACGGATGCCCAGAAAACACATTGAATCAAAACATACCTGACACAGTCAACAAAAGCTGATTGTTTTCCTTAATTGAAAATAATTGCCAGCTTCTGTTTATTGAAATAAGTGTGATTTAATCCTGAACATTCCCATCTGAAGCAAATTGGAAGTGTTCCAAAATACAAGGCAAGGGTGAAGTTAGCACGCTGAAAGCTAAAAGTGGCAATTATCTTTCAGAGGAGCTCATGAAAATAGGAAGTCCTCAAAGAAGAAGAAACTGAAAGATAGATCTGGGGAGAAAAGTGCTCTGCGCAGTCTATGATTACTTTATTGCTCTTACAAAATATCAGGGAGAGAAAAATTGTTGGTGGGAACTTTGTTTAGTTTGTATTTTTAATGCACACTGTACTAGGTTTGCACTTTCAGACCTCCAAGAACATTGAAACTCAATAACCCTTAAAAATTGCACTTTTTCAAATCATGCAAAGGAGTTCTCAAAAAAAGATACAAACATGCAGGTATTAAGGAAGCTAGCATTTAACCATGCATTTTATCTGGAAATTTGTTTGTAAAAGTGTGGTTCAAATGTGTGATTCTTATGCATTTGCTGCAGGCACTAATCTCTGACTATGTATTTATTTATTCTTCATTCATAAAGATGTGAACTGCTACCATTTACCACCAGTGAATATCAAAGTCATCTCAGTATCTCTGTCTGCCTCATGAAATATACATTCCCTTCAACTGTACCCAAATGACTCATTTCCTGCACTTTATTGATTAGCATAATAAAAATCTCATGACAACACAAGATAGAAATCTTACTATTAACTGCTGATTGAAGTGAACAGTGTTTCCTGCATAGAAATTAACAAAACACACCTCTTGATTCTCCCTAATGGACTGGTATTTCATGAAACAAAAGTGTTCCTTTGGTGTTTGCATCTCCCACTTTGGGCTAAAAGGGTCCTATCATTTCTACTGAGAAGGAACTGGAGCATCTGGTGAACAACCCTAACAGAAAGTGTTGAATATAAATGTAGATGTTCCAGTGACTTCCTACCAGATTATGCATCAGAAAAGTGGAAGTATTTTTCCTGCCATGAAGAACAGTGGAAAGAGGTTAATGCAGTCTTCCCCAGCCTGGCACACTGCAGATGTGATGAACTGCAGATCCCATCCTTCCCAGTCAAACAGCATAGACATTGGCCACTGTTGGCTGGGAATGATGGAGAGGCACCCCAACACATCTGGAAAGTGGCAAGTTCGGGAAGGCTATATTAAGGTCCAATCCTAAACACATTGAAGAAGAAAGGCCTACAATTCCCAGCATGCCCCAGCAGCAAATTTTGATGGTACATCATGATAGTATGATTTCTATACTGCTAACTATCAAGGAAAAATCCCTAAGTGGTTCCACACACATTGTTATTCTTGTTACATTACATTTATACCCCACTTTTCTTCCTCTTGCAAGGAACCCAAGGCAGCTTACACAGTAATCCTGCTTTCCCCTTTATTCTGATAACAACCCTGTGAGAAAGGTTAGACTGAGAGTCCATGTCTAGCCAAAAGTTTCTCAGTGAGCTTCATGCTTGAATGGGGCTAGAACCTGGATCTCCCACCTCCTAGACCAGCAGTCTACCTACAATGCCACATGCGTAACCGTTGCAGTAGCACATATTCTCACATTGATCTGCAGTCCAAGTGATTGTTTTAGAAAACAACTCTTAGCATACTTATAATCAGTAGTGTAGATCTTTTAATATTTTGCCAAATTTATCTTTGCCAATGTTGCCAAATTTGCAACATTCCTGTGAGATAAGTGACTCGTTATTTCTCTCTGTAGTTCAGAAATTAAAGCTAAGAGATTTCTTGGCAGAGATTAAATGTGGGCTCATGTTACTGACTGGATTCACATTATCAGAATTACACAGATTGGCCGAAATAAGTGATTGGTCTGCAGGCAGCCATCCCATAATCCAACCCCAACTTATTTAAGGCATTTCTATACCATTTGGTTACCATAATGCTCTCAGAATGATGTATAGAATATTTTTTTAAAATACCAAATAACAACAATTTAAAAACTGATTTAAACCAAACATCTGCCTTAAAACTTCTGAATAACAATAAAATTCAACAACATATATAACAAACAGCAAACAAAGCAATAGAGTACCATACATAATCACAACTATTCCACATGTACCAAGCAATTAAAAGTCAATGAAAAACCAGATAAACAACAAACTCTTGGTTTGTTATAGAAGCTGTTACTGTAGTTAATTAGCCACCCAAAGGCATGGATTGTTTTGGGGTTGCAGGTGCTTTGTTAAGCAGGTCGACAGCCCATGCTTGACACATGTGGACAATCTGACCAGTTACAAGTGGCTTGTGTTATAGAATGCACTCCAGCAGGTACCCACAAGCCATAAAGGCTTATTTAAACTTCCAAGTGTCACTTGGATCATGTGAGCAAGCCCCATGTTGACATCAAATGCCTTGAGTTGTTGAGAGAGCTACATGTGAAAGTAAATCTCTGCATGTGCACTTGATGGTGCACATCTAGATCAGAGGAAGGAAACAAGTATCCCCCTCTAAATCATCTAGGACTACAGGTCCCATCAGCCCCTAGACAACATAAGCTAATTGGCAAATGGTATGGGATGATGGGAG